AAATATGCCCTGGCCTTAAAACTGGAGCCAAAAGGCTAAAAAGGGCCAGTGAAAGAAACACAGTTTGGCCCTGAAACCAGAGCCAACTCTGCCCCTGACCGACTAAACCAACCCATCCCTGAGCAGGAAAACTAACCAATCCCTGAGGAGAACATCTTCTTCTCCCTGGAGAAACTCCACCCCTAAGAAGCCCTATGTAAGCCCCTCTGCCTATTCAGTTGTGGGCTGTCCTTTCCTACCCTGGTGGAGGCAGCCATTTTCCTGGACTCCCCTTTCCCAAATTTCTTTCTTTCTTTCTTTTTTTTTTTAAAGATTTATTTATTTATTATGTATACAGAAGAGAGCACCAGATCTCATTACAGATGGTTGTGAGCCACCATGTGGTTGCTGGGAATTGAACTCAGGACCTTTGGAAGAGCAGTTGGTGCTCTTAACTTCTGAGCCATCTCTCCAGCTCTCCCAAATTTCTTCAAAGAGTTTTGGGTGAAGATCTTCTTTCACCGGCATGAGCAGAAGAACCTTTGCTGAGAGGTTCCCTTAGCGGGGGCTAAGGGGTGGGGGTGGGGGTGGGAAGGAGTAACAACATGTCGCCAGAGCCAGAGGAGATTGCTGCATTTCTGAAGGGGTTTCCCCTATATCAGAGTGAAGCAGAAGTAACATCTTGAGTCAGAGCAGAAATGGATAGCTCTCCTAGGACATTCCCTTAGGGGAACAGATCAGAGCTCAGCTGTAATGGCTCTCTCTTAGAGAGGAGCAGGATTGTTACATCCTGCGGGGAGACCATCCCCCCACCGCACCCCAACTTCAGGTATAGCCTGACTTCCTGACAAGTCAGGATACCTTTCCCTCCACAGCTGTACCACTTGAAATGATGTCAGTTAGCTCCAGCATTTCTTTGTTTAATTGTTGGCTAGATGACCTGTCTATTGGTGAGAGTGAGATATTAAAGTCTCTCACTATCAGTGTGAGAATCAATATGTGATTTAAGCTGTAGTAGTATTTCTTTTATGAACTTGAGTGCCCGTGTGTTTGGTGCATAGATGTTAAGAATTTCAATGTCTTGGATTTTTCCTTTGATGAGTATGTAGTGTCCTTCTCTCTCTCTCTCTCTCTCTCTCTCTCTCTCTCTCTCTCTCTCTCTCTCTCTGGTTTATTGAGACAGGGTTCCACAGTGTAGCTCTGGCTGTCCTAGAACTCACTCTGTAGACTAGCTGGCCTCGAATTCAGAGATCTGCCTGCCTCTGCCTCCCAAATGCTAGGATCAAAGGTATGTGCTACCACCACCCAGTTTCTGTGTGTTTCTTGTAACTTGATAGGCATTTACTTCTTAGAGAAATTTTCTTCTGTGATTTTGTTGAAATTTTTTTCTGTGCCTTTGGGCTGAGTTTCTTCTCCTTCCTCTGTTTTTTTTTTTTTTTTTTCAAGATTTATTTATTGTATGTACAGTGTTCTATCTGCATGTATGCCTGCACACCAGGAGAGGGCACCAGATCTCATTACAGATGGTTGTGAGCCACCATGTGGTTGCTGGGAATTGAAATCAGGTCCTCTGGAAGAACAGTCAACGACCTCTGAGCCATCTCTTCAGCCCCATCCTTTGTCTATTCTTAGATGATTAGATTTGGTCTTCTTATAGTGTCTCAGATTTCCTGGATGTTTTGTGCCAGATGTTTTTAGGTTTAACATTTTCTTTGACTGATGTCCATTCCTTCATGTCTTCTTGTTTGAGATTCTCTTTTGCATCTCTTATATTCTGTTAGTGAGGCTTGCCTCTGAGGTTCCTGTTCAATTTCCTAACTTTTTCATTTCCAGATTTCCCTCTGAGTTTTCTTTCTTTTTAAATTTATTTTATGTGCATTTGTGTTTTGCTAGCATATGTGTCTGTGTGAGGGTGTCAGATCCTCTGGAACTGGAGTTATAGACAGTTGTGAGCTGCCCAGATATACGTGCTGGGAATTGAACCCAGGTCCTCTGGAAGAGCAGCCGGTGCTCTTAACCATTGAGCCGTTTCTCCAGCCCGTTTGGGTTTTCTTTGTTGATTCTATTTCCACTTTCAGGTCTTGAACCTTTACTCCCTTCCACTCTTTGTTTTTTTCATACATTTCTTTAAGGGATTTATTTCCTCTTTAAGGGCTTCTCTCATATTCATAAAAGCTATTTTAAGGTCTTTGCCTTGTGTTTCAGCTATGGTGCAACACTCAGAGCCTACTGCAGTAGGGTTGCTAGGCTCTAGATTAAAGGCATGTGCCTTCCTATCTCAAAGATCCAGATTAGAAGTGGATTAATGGGGCTGGAGAGATGGCTCAGCGGTTAAGAGCACTGGCTGCTCTCCCAGAGGTTCTGAGTTCAATTCCCAGCACCCACATGGTGGCCCACAGCCATCTGTAGTGAAATCTGATGCCATCTTCTGGTGTGCAGTATACATAATAAATAAATCTTAAAAAGAAAAAAAAAAGGAAGTGGATTGACCTACTTCAAATTAAGCAAAAACTCTTCACAGGTGTGTTCTCCATTTTTTGATTTCAATTAATTCCAGATGTAGTCAAGGTGACAAGAATAGCCATCAAACTTTCCTTCAGTTTCAAAATCTCAGGCAGGTTTATTGTCCTGGATAGAGAGACAGCTGCTCTTCCAAAGGAACCTGGTTTGATTCCCATTGCCCACATAGCTGCTAACAGCCATCTGTAACTCCAGTTCCAAGGGGATCTGAACCCTCTGCTGGCCTCCATGGGTACTGCATGCACATGGTACACAGACACATGCAGCCAAAACACATAAAAATAAGCAAACCTCAAATTTTTAAAATAAAATTGTGGCCGGGCAGTGGTGGCGTACGCCTTTAATCCCGGCACTCGGGAGCCAGAGCCAGGCAGATCTCTGTGAGTTCGAGGCCAGCCTGGCCTACAGAGCGAGATCCAGGACAGGCACCAAAACTACACCGAGAAACCCTGTCTCAAAAAACAAAATAAAACAAACAAAAAAGTAAATAAAATAAAATGAAATTGTGTTATTTTTAGTAGTATGTTACTATTGAGGTTTTGGAGGTTTGTATATATTTTGGATGTTTACCCTTGTTTAACGTGTGATTTGTAATTACACTCTCCTGTTCTGTAGGTGGTCTCTTCACTCTGTTGACGTTTGCTTTGCTATCTGGCAGCATTTTTAGCTTTGTTATCCCCGTTCCTCTCTGTTAGCATATTCCCTGGGGAGGAGGATTTTTGCCTTCTCATCATTCATAGGTATTATCCATTTAATTAACATTTATGATGTTCAATAAGTATTGATGGGAATAAATTCTTCAGTGAGTGAACAAACCTGACTTAGTTCTTATAAGCTTAAATGTTTTCTTAAGCTCACATGACTCATTTGATCAGAACACCTTCGTGAGCTGGACTTGGTGCACACCTGTAGCCCTAGCACTTGGGAAGCTAGGGCAAAGAGGATTGTGAGGTAGAGGCAGGGCGTGGCTAGAGAGTTATAGCAAGCCCCTGTCTCAACGGACAAAGAAACAGACATATACTCCTAGATCCTGAACTAGTCCGTTGCCTTGCCATCTCTGTGATCTTGCTCGTACAAACTCTGCAGTCTGTAGTAATTCTTCATATCCTGCCCCCTCCGATAATAACACTTCCCTTTTAGGATAAGACCCGCCGTCAGTGTGAGCACTTTCCTACTTCAGTGTGAGCAATTTCGTACTTCTTCAGTGTGAGCATTTTCCTACTTCAGTGTGAGCATTTTCCTACTTCAGTGTGAGCATTTTCCTACTTCAGTGTGAGCACTTTCCTGCTTCAGTGTGAGCACTTTCCTACTTCAGTGTGAGCACTTTCCTACTTCAGTGTGAGCAATTTCGTACTTCTTCGGTGTGAGCACTTTCCTGCTTCAGTGTGAGCATTTTCCAACTTCGGTGTGAGCACTTTCCTACTTCAGTGTGAGCACTTTCCTACTTCAGTGTGAGCACTTTCCTACTTCAGTGTGAGCATTTCCCTAATGAACCTTTTACCTACTGTCATCTTCTATGATTTTTGGAGTCTCTGCCTATTTACTGCTTTTTTAAAAAATAACAGCAACAGGTAACTTATTTTTGTTTTGAGAAAGGGTTCCAAGATGTGGCCCAGTTTGGCCTTGAGTTCATAGGCTGGGAAGCCCTTCCTGTGTTAGTCTCCTGACAGGGGGACTACAGACTCAAACCACTGTACCACAGAGAAATCCTGTTTCACTTGTATTTTTCTATCAGTTCCTCATTTGATACTACTAGGAGCCCTCAATAATTTCTACCACGGGTTAGATTTTTAATTTTAAAACCATCATCATCATAAAAATGTAAGGCATTCTTTAAAAACTGATTTAGATTGTAATTTAGTTAAAAAAAAAAAAGCAACTAAAATATGAAACCCGGGGCTGGAGAGATAGCTCACAGTTAAGCTCTTGTTAGCTAGGCATGCTGGCACTCATCCTTAATCCCTTCACTTGGGAGCAGAAGTAGGCAGATCTCTGTGAGTTCCAGGTTAGCCTGGTCTACAGGGAGTTCCAGGATAGCCAGGGCTACACAGAGAGACCCTGTCTGAAAACAAAAACAAAAACAAAAGCAAACAAACAAAAACCCACAGCACTTGTTATTGCTTTTCTGTAGGACCTAGGTTGGCCCCCCAGCACCCACATGAGACCTCACAACTATCTGTAGCTCTAGTTCCAGGGGACCTGTCACCCTCTTCTGGCACCTGATGCACAGACTTATGTGCACACAAAACGCTCATGTACAGCAAATAAATATTTTTCAAATGAAAGTCGCATCTCCATCAAATTTAATTGTAGAGTAGCGTATCTGTTTGTGTGTCCCTATACAAGTTTCCCAGTGTAAACAAAGCTGTACTTGTGGGTGGTGCCTTGTTCTCCTATAGTGGCTTGGTCTCTTCTCAAAGGCAAATGTCATAGTGCACTCCAGGACACCTGTGTTCACACCATTGGTTCTTTGAAACTATATTTGGATGTTCAAGCTATTAAAAGCTTCATGGACTTAGTGACCTTCCAGGCAGAGTTTAGACAGGATGTTCCCACTGCTGCTGCCTGTTGCGGAGCAGAAAACAGCAGCTCTTAGCCTCCACAGGGGCTTCATCTTGCTTTATTTCCTTTCCCCTTCCTAAAGAAGATGAACCATAAAAGCACAACCCTGATATCCTTGAAGGAAGCAATGAGAAGGTGGCTCGGGGCTCCAGGGAGGGAATAGGGCCAGGGTCTGCTCTTCTCACAAGATGGGGAGTGAAGAACAAAGAGCAGAAATAAGCAGAGAACAGCAGCCATACACAGAGAACTGTGTTTGCTAAAGTAGTTGGAGTCTTGCAGGTTCAAAAAATATGTAAACTGATAATAAAGAAAAATCTTTGGGGTTGGGATTTAGCTCAGTAGTAGAATGTTTGTGTAGTTGAAAGGCCCTGGTTTTTAAATCTCCTGCATCTGCATGTGTACTCATACACACACACACACACACACACACACACACACACACACACACACACACACACAGAATCAAGAAAAGGAATCTGCTTTAATATGCTATAGCTCCGTTCAATTCATGCTAGATTCACAGAAATAAGTAAAATGTAACTATTTCCCTTGAAGAGCTCATAGCCTACAGGAATAGTAGAATTGTTTTTTCAAATACAGTTTAATACACATGACCTTATACTAGTGATGCTCCAAAAAGACCAAAGGAACACAAAGGAGGGATCAACCCATTTGGCCTAAGGAAGTGGCTCTTCACAGAGGGATACTTTGCTGGATCATAGCATCTGAGTTAGTTTATGAGGAAATAAATAGGAGGAGGAATTTTATAGTGAGAAAACTACATTTTGACCTCACAAAAGATTGAAATTACAGATTAGCAACTAGAATGTGTGAGAAGATTCAGAAAGACATTCTGCTTCTTGCTGAGGAGATCCAGTTCGTCTCTAAAGTCAGGTGGCATAAAAAAATACATTTTTAGCTGAATTAAATGATCACAACTGGCTGCTCCTTCAGAGGTCCTGAGTTCAATTCCCAGCAACCACATGGTCGCTCATAACTATCTGTAGTGGGATTTGATGCCCTTTTCTGGCATAAAGACATACATGCAGATAGAGCACTCATATACATAAATAAATAAATCTAAAAATATGATCATAACAGTATTTTAGAGAATTATGTGAAGGATGAATTGGAGGCTGAAGCAAGGGCTCAGTAAGACTACGGTAGTCCTAGGACCAGGTTAAAGGAGATGGACTGGTTTACTGGGTATGACAGGTGAGAGGTGAGTTAAATAGATATCAGCTGTGGGGGAGGGGTTGAGAATTATTCTTAGATTTCTAATTCAAACAACTGAATAGACTGTAAGGCTGTTAACTGAGCTAGGGAATTGTGGTAGGAAACATTACTCTCAGATTTACATTTTTTTAATTTAAAAATTCTTTTTAGAATTATTTTATGTGTACCACATGTGCGCCTGATTCCCTCAGAGGTCAGAAGAGGGCATCAGATCCCCTAGAACTGGAGGTATCAGTGACAGCTATGAGTCAGTGTGTCGGGGCTGGGAGTCAAACCCAGGTCTTCAAGAACAAGTACACTTAGCCACTAACCCATTCCTCCAATCCTTCTTGTTTTTGTTTTTTGAGACAGTTTTGTGTGTGTGTGTGTGTGTGTGTGTGTGTGTGTGTGTGTGTGTGTGTGTCCCTAAGTGTCCTGGAACTAGCTCTGTAGACCAGGCTGGCCTTGAACTCACAGAGATCTACCTGCCGGGTGCTGGGATTAAAAGCATGTTCCCACCACCACCCAGCTCTAATATATAATAAATTATTTATTTATGTGGTGGGAAGGGGTTGTGCATGCCACAGGCACCCACGTGGAAGTCAGAGGAAAACAGGAAGGAGTTGGTTTTTTCCTTCCACCATGTGGGGCTAAGGGATGGAAGTTAGGTCACCAGGTCAGCAGTAAGCACCTTAACCTGATGAGCCACCTGTACATTCTTTTTTCAGCATTAATTAGAGTGGTCCGCATGTCTTTTGGCGGGGTATTCCAAAGAACTTCTGCAATTATAAACTGTTATCGACAAGCTACAGCTCATCTCTAGAGTTCAAACTAGCAATGATCTACAGCACTACAGCTTCAAGTCTGAAGTTAAAGACAGTCAGGTGGCGTTGTTTTGACTCGAAAACAGAGATTGCTGCATATAAGCCTCACAGGCTTCATACTCCTATAAAATACACATTTCATACCAACTTTAACTAGGTGTGAATTGATACCAAAACTGAGAGAAAATTCCTCCATCACAATTTCTGAAGGTGGAGGAGAGAGTTCATCAAGTTAAGCTTAGGACAGTTGGATTTGATGTCTCCACCTAGGGAGAAATGCACGAAACAGATGAGAGTATAAGTCTAAGAGAAAAATGGTACCTGAAACTCAGTTACTATTGGGAGAAACGGAGGACCAAGAGAACAGGGTCAGGACATAATCTTGGGCAGCCACAAAGTGTTGAGGTCACTGGAGAGATAACTATTTTCTTATCCCTTCCTTCATTAAAGACCATGTGGTGCTTTCAGGCTAGCTCTTTGTGGCTCATTTAGGTGCAATCTTAGTGCTATGGTGCCTCTGGTGTTCAGGGCTACTCAGAGCTACTTCAGTCCTCTTGTGACCTCAGCAGGTCATTCTTTCTCGTCACAGGTGTCAGCTGTATGACCTGGACATAAGTTACCACTTCTCTATAATGTCTCTGCTAGTTATTGGGAGACAGGAATAATATCTCTAAGAAATGGCCACTGATCTCCTATGTAGAATTTATACTTTACTTCATACAAAGCAAACTGAAACAAGAAGTATTGCATGATAGAGGCAAGGGTTTCCCCAGAGAGTGGGGTTAAGAAGAGAGTGGAGGGCTGGACATAGTTCAGTGGTAGAACTCTGGCATAGAAGGTATGAAGCCCTAGGTTCAGTCCTCAGCATTATCCTCTCTCTCTCTCTCTCTCTCTCTCTCTCTCTCTCTCTCTCTCTC